TGTCCACATTATACCATTCAGAAAACACCACTAATCCCAGTCCAGAATTAAGAACATCGTCTCGAAGCTTTTCAATCTCATCCTGAAAGTACTCTTCTTCAAGATCTACAAGAAGAAGGGTCCCATACCGGAGAGCATCAAAGCAAGTAAATGGCGAACCGAGTGTTTCGACATAATACCCAGCGTCTCGTAACATGTTGAACATAATGTGAAAATTCGTATGCAGGTGATCCCCATGCCAATCAAGAATGTCATTACGGACATCCAAAGAATCTCTAGGGATATAACCTGGAGGGTATTTAATATTGTGAAACTGATCCCACAAAACTCGTTTCGATCTTGGTGGAGTTGGGACAATTTTCAATTTCAACTGAAGCACACAAGTACTCATCTGACGATCCGTCTCTCCTAGAGCTGGAGGACTGTATACCCTAAGAGTAACATTGCCTCCTATCTCTCCAGAAAATTGTGCCCCTTCTTCCTTAATTTGCATGTGAAGTGCTAAATAACCAGTCCAAGGCCAAATAACTTCAGAATAAGTAAAGTGAATGCTTAGAAGATTCCCTACATCATCTGAAGGATGCCATGTCGGTGGACTTTCAACGTAGCCTATTACACCCATCCCATTTAGAATGGTGGCATTAAAGATAACAGGCATGGCACCTGCATAAAGGGGCTGACGACAGAAGGGCCAAGAGTAAGGACAATCCGTATAATCAAGAGTGCTAGGGAAGATGCTGGCACGAGGTTGGTAACTCTTGAGGATTTCATATGATTCTAACCTGACCAAAAAGTCTAAAATTAAAACTAAAAACCATAAATGCCAATGCTGGAGCAGCTGGACATTAAGGCAAAAAGCAAGAGGCCTATAAATCAGGAGGACTTACAGATCAACCCTGCCTGCACCCTGCTCAAACATATTCGGACCAGAAAGCTTCGCAGCACCCTGAACTAGTGCTTGTTTCATGCTTGCTGGATTTAAAATATCCTTCCTATTGCTCACAGGGATAACACTGACAAGAAGACATACCATACCAGCAACCACAGGACTTGCCACACTTGTGCCTGATAAGCTTTTACAGCCTGTACTGATCTTGGATCCCATGATGTCCCGTCCATATGCAACAACATCTGGCTTCACCCGACCATAACTGTACGGAGAATACTGAAATAGTTCATGATTTGCACATTCAATGTTATAACAAAGATTATACTGCTAAAAGAATAACAAATGATTGGATAAGTCTCAAGAACAGTTAAAAACCTCAGGAAAGGAAAAAATAAAGCAATTGCAATAAGCAGTACGAAAAAAAAGATATTAGATTACCCATGAGGCATCTCCCATGTACTCATGCCACGTGACGAGAAAGAAGCAATGTGGTCACTGTAGTCAATGCCACCAACACCAATGATATCACTTTGGTCTGCTGGATTGTTTAGAGTTCCATAAAGTGGTCCGTCATTTCCAATTGCCGAAACCATAATTATGTTGTTTGCAGTTATTTCCCAGACCTGGTGAAATGAGCAGAACAAAGCTAAGCAAAATATGTTTCATGATTCAAAAGCATAAGTATAATATATGCCCACAATCATCTGAGTGCAATCGCTGATGGAGATCCAAAGCCACCACACTAAGGTTCTATACACAACATGGAAAACTAACAAAGAAGCCTTACCTTCTCTACAAATGGGAGGTCCAAGTAATCAGGTCCACCTATACTCAGATTTAGCACATCCATATTGGTTGCAATTGCATAGTTGAAAGCGTCAAGGAACCATGATGTGTATGATACCTGCAATAAGCTGAATACAAGCTTCTCATTTTCATAAGGATTCGACGTGATCATGGAGTGCCGGCTGTCGACTACCTGACGCCCTCCCCCTCCTCCTTTATCCGGGCTTGGGACCGGCCATGTAAGACATAGGCGGAGTACTTCAAATAGCAGGTTAACTTATATATCATAGGTGATAGGCCAATACAAAGTTTCCGAAATCTAGCCTCCAATCCTTTCTTCCAAAAATGAGAACAAATATAGTAATATTTATGAATCAACAATGCATATATGTGCAACGCAAAAAACACACTTCACCCACCAATGGGATAGAACGTGAAATATGAATGTAAATTTGTGTTTTTCCCTTGGTATGCGATTCTATTCTAGTCACAATGTCATGTCAATAATTCTTCAAATGTCTGATGTCATTACCTGTGCATCTGTAAACACACGAAAAGCATAAATCTCTGTGTCAGGAGCATAACCAAGACACTCTGCATCTACTCCAGCAATAACACCAGCAACAAATGTCCCATGCCCAAGATTGTCATTTAAAGTATCTTCATTTGTCCAGTTTGTGCGCTCCTGCATAATTGCTCAAAATTTAAAACCAGTATAGCACAGAGAATTTTTTTTTGGAATCAAACAAACATGTATTAAGGTAAATAATGCCGATTAACCAACTGCAAAAACACACAATGGAAAAAGACTCCAACCTTTTTTCCCACAATAAATTACCTTGATATTACGAAAATGCGGGTGATTAGCTCGAATTCCAGTGTCAAAGATGGCCATTTTGACATTTGCACCAGTATAACCTTTTTCCCAAAGGGACTCAGCCCCAAACAATGAAGTAACTTGAGATCTCTGCATGAATAAAAGTGACCAAAGAGGGTGAATTAAGAATAAACACAAGGGAAATATTCAGGAATCAAAACAGCCGATTTTTGAGACACATAAAAAATGGCTTCTCCAGGTCAATATACATAAGTATCAGTGAGAAAAACAAAATGCTGTATTCAATATTCCTTCGATTATCGCGTTAGAAATCGTAATGTGATTTTGGTAGTTTAAGAAATTGGCGCTCTGCATTATAAGCTTCCACTGCAACACCATACAAAACAAAAACAGAGCACAACGCCATTTTGTTTTCGGAATCATTAACACCCCTGAAAACTGAATTACGAAAAACTTGTAACTTGCTCAACCTAATATGATAAACGACCATTAAAAACATAAAAGTACCAACTTCAAGTTTCTTACTTTTCCCAAAACTTCACACAAAAGCACCAAAAACCCACCTGAGACATGAGCTGCCTTCTCCAGCGAATCGAAGAATTGCTTGTGGCGGAGTAAAACGCATCGCCGCCGGCTTCACTGAACGACATCCCCGTCAAAATCTTCCCCGGCCGCTTCTTCCCATCGACAAAAGCCCCAACTCTGTCCCTTTTCCCCTCAGCAAGCAAACCCCTTCCATACCTCACATCCGCATTCACATCCTTCACCATTCCCAAGCTCCTAATTTCCGAAAATACCCTTTCTTTCGCCGAGTCTTCAATCCAAACCAACCCGAAATCCGTCGGATACTTCTTCGCCGGGTTGTTCCTCTCGATCCAATCCCACCCATCGGATCGCACACCCGATTTCAAATACTCTCGGAGCTCCTCCGCCCTCCTGTACTCCACAAATCGAACGACGTACCTTTGGCGGTTGGCCTGGGGACGCCACGAATTTGGGGGAAGGTTTCGGCTTAGGGTTGGGGAATTATGGGGTCTGAAATGGAGGAGAGAGATGGAGATGGAAACTGAAATGGAGATCACGACGAAGAGGATAGAGAGTGATGACGTGGCGGCGCGAGGAGGAGGAGCGGTCATGATGACGGCGGCGCTATAGAGATTGGCGGAGCTGAGGACTCAGGACTCATTGATTTGGCGGGAAAGGTCTCGCATCGGAGAAAGAAAATTCGGGTCGCTCCAGAGAATCTCTGTGAATCTTCAGTTTTAACTTGTCTCTTGTTTTCTTTGTCTTTTCACCGCGTACGTAAATAATAAAATAATACAGATTTTTGCAGCAATCATTTTTTATTCATATCTGGTCATCAATTCTTTCTTTTGGTAGAACGGCCCATCAAATTTTTATTTTTGATAGAATGGCCCTTAACTTTTGGCTCTTATTTTTGCCCCGTAGCTCCGTTAGTTCATCATGTGATTTCAGTTATAACGATTTTATTCTTTGTATTATGGTATCTCACATGTAATTCAAGGACACATCCAAATTCTTGTCTAAACACGTTCAAGGGTATTAGAGAATCTTCGAGATTTATTTATCTATTTCTCCTCTCATTTTCACATTAGGCTTGATTGAAGGACTGTGATTTATCTAAAATTCAGTTTGAATAAACATTAAATGAAATTTGATAAAAAAATATATACAATGTTGTAAAATTGTGAGAATGAATGCCCACAGTGAGGAAGATTTGAAAATAGTGATGTATTTGTTGTTGTGTAATGTTTTCAAAAGTGGCAATCATTTCATTTGTTTGGTTTGTCACGGATGTTGCTATATATAAAGAGCACTCCCGTGTGTGATCACAATAGACACTGCAAAAGAAAAGAACTAAAAGCAATAATATCAGTATCCCTCACTTCCTCTTTTTACCTGTAATCATTTTGTGTTGTAGTTACGAAACTAAACAGTGTGATATTTTGTACCCGCTTCGTTTCTGCCCCTAACAAAGATTATCGCTCTAACTTTTATCTATTTATAACATACAAATTGTAGTCCCTATCGAGCCTAATGTAAATATCTCAAAAAGACATAGCGTCTCAATTGGATGAAAATTTTGATGTGGTCTAGAATTGTAAGGGTACCAAACTAGGATAAAATCACTAGAATTGTAAACCACGTAGACTAAATTGGAAAACGGGAAAATGACAAGGACGAAAGTAAATTTGGCCTTATTTTTGTTTTTAATTGTTTGTTTAAACGCTGCGTTTCGATAACGACGGCTCTGTACAGTACAACCGCTGCCTCCATCTCCAACGCTATCTGTGAAAAGAGCAAAATCCAATCAAAGCTTGAAGTAATTTGAGAAGTAAAACAGTGACTTTTACGGATGTAAGCGTGTTCATAAACTTAATTGTTGTACCTTCTGATAACTGATAACTACTGCAGCCAACTTTTCGTTTGACTATAGTCTAAAGATTTCTGAATATGTTTAAGAAATTTCTTTGATATTGCTGCCCGCAGCTCGGATATGCTGTTATTGATACAGAGATTCTTAGTCAATCAGAAATCGAGGATATATGCATGTCAAAGTTTACTGCCTTGGTTTTGAAGGTACATCGGATTTTACCATACAAGTTGTTCGGTGTTATAGTTATTGTTCTTAGAAACATATATCATTTTGACAAATTTATGTTCATGCCGTTTTTCAGTTCATCTCGCAGAGGAACAGGCCAATTAGAGGTAGCACTTCAAAATTACTTTTGGATACATGCGTTCTTTACCGTGCAAGGTACTTCTTTCTCAATGATACTTACCAACTTGATGTGCATCTCAATTCACGGATGTAAAACTGGTTCGTTCAGTTCACAAACGAGTGTGTATTATTTAGCACTTAAATGAGAGTTAGCTTCCATGATATGTCTCAACAGCGGTATCTGCTATTAGTTTCATTGAAATGTCGTTCTGTTTTACCTATTCTGCAGACCTCCCTGACTGCAGCTGGCTGCTACATTACACCGGCTCCTGGTTCTAAAGGAATGAAAGCTCTAGTTTGTGTTTCTGTCGATAGTCCTCTACCTTTAAAGATGGGATTATCCCGCTTACACTTTCAGGCAGAGTAGGAACACAGTACTCTAGATGAGATAGAGCAAATTATAGCAGATAGCAAATCGTCTGCAGATTCTTTGGTTCCAAATGCATCAGATGTGCATTTCTTGGAAGGAGCTCCTGAATCAATTCTAACTGGAGCCAGGAAACTCGGTATGATTAGCGAGTCACCTTTACAAGTACCCTTTTATTGCAGAAGGAAGAAATTAACAATTTCAAGTCTAGTAAAGTCGCAGCTGACTACAAGTCACAGCATGGAGTCAAATCTGCTAGTACATCACGGAGTGAACCACTTCAACCTGGGCAAATACATTTATATGGTATTTTGTAGCTGTGTAACCTGTTTCCTAACAAGTAACAATATTTATTTTTCTTTACAGAGCATTGCCTTCGAACACTGCCCACACTTAGCGACATCTGCAACATTCAAGCCAAAAGTACCATTTGGCGGAGGTCATACTTCGTTCATCTAGTCGCTGTACTTTACAGTTCAGCGGGACATTGGAGTCGATATATGACCCCAGCTTGCTTCAAGCCCCAATTTTGTACCGCACTTGGATTATGTTGCAACATGTATTTTACCCCAGCAAGCTTCAAACCCCAAATTTCCATTGGGGAAACAATTTGTACGCTAAAAATGTATTTCTTCATCTTGAGTCAATATATGATGCGCGAATCTACTTACGAAGAACACGATGAAAAAGGCGGAAAACTGAAAAAATTAAACTGTGTTTTTCATTTCATTGTAAAAGTATTTGAACACATACAACTTGAAAACAATTACATCACACTCCCATACCCCAACATCGAAAACCGGTGGTTGGTAGTCTCAGGAGGGCTCATGATGCTTTCTGCCTAAAGAACATACTTTTTCCCCATTTTGCACCACTCTAAACCGAACAAACGAAGGAAAGAACGGAAAATTGGGGGAAGCAGAAGATAATCATAATCTGCCCTGACCTCCTCGTTCCTTAACTGAAGTAAAAGATGTGAACCACTGCTTCCAAGCAGCATCCTTTTGCTGCTCGACCCATGACAAAAAGGCACTGTCCAACAGGCAAAAGATGTTTACATAGAGGAGTTGGTACCTCACAGGAACATATCGGAAATTCGCAGTCTGAACAATTGGCCACACACCACCCTCCAACGCAAGGGCTGGTAGGAAATCTCTCTTCAAATCCTCCTTCACCTGAACAGAATTCTTGCCCGTGGAAAATCCCATGTAAGTGAAAAACACCAACAAATCCAAGGGGCCAAAGATAAGGCCATCCATTGCCACTTTAGCAGCAACAAACTGCGCTGACTTGGGTTGTAGGTGAAGCTTCAGCTTTATAAACTTGTCCAAGCCTTCGTACCTACAAACAAGCAATGTTATACCTTTTCTTTTTATTTTCTTATAGCCGGAGGGAAAAGAACGATTGGTAAAACAAACCAGAAATGGCCAACTGGTCCAACAAAGGCAAACCCAAATGTGCTTGTGATAGCTACGCGTTTCCAGTTAACCTTGAAGTTTGCGTCTGTATCCTGTTGCATGAAATATATAAATTTTCACCATATGTGCAGAGAAAGTAGTCGATGGACAAAATACTAAGCTGCTTCACTACACACAATGACTTGAAGTGAAGTGAACAAACAAAAACCAACAACGACTAGAACTAAAAATCAATCAGGTTCCGCTCCACAAAGTCAGCTGCATCATTTGATGTTAAATCCAACAGTTCACAAAGTTTGAGGAAACAAATAAGTGGAGAGAAAAAGGGATCAAGGCTTAGTTTAGATACACTCTAAATTAAAGAACAAGATAGAAAGAGCTACACTGGAACCCATACTTGCACTGTTGCACAAACTCACGCACACAATGGTATATTTCAGTGGTACCTGAACTCCATAGTTCATTTTTCAATTTGAAAGACATAACCGAACTGAAAAGTATCTTTTCCTGCACATAATAAAAGTAGTTCCTTGACAAGCCTATCCTAGTACTTAAATAAAAATAATAATGACAGGAAAAACATATTTGAAGCAAAGTGTCAACAAGGTAGTCCTGATATCATGCACCATCTGAGCAAGACAATTATATCAAATACTAACCCGATGTCTTATTTCAGAATAAAAAAATGTTTTGCTGATAAGTAAAATATAAAAGAAGAGAATTGAACGAAACAAGGTTCCTCTATGTAGTTATAAATCAAAGAATGACCGACTGCAGGTATGAGCAAATAGCATGGGTTGCATAGCTAAAACTAATAAGCTCATCTGCAAACGCTAGTAGATAATCATCTAGTATCATGTCATGAAATTATCATCTCCGGTTGCGATGGCATCCAATTTCTGTAACGGAATTCATCGATTTAATTGATAAACAATTTGGCCATTACAGAAAATGAAGCCATCGCCGGTTCATAGCCATTAAATCATTCCATTATCTGCACTCTATAGTCCATAGTATCCTTATTCTGGATGATAAATGATACACCGAAAACTGTCGAAAGTATCGTGTTCTCCAAGACATCGAAACAGACCCACAATCAATTTTCTCCAATTCTGAAGAACAGATTCATGAGTTCAAACAAACAAGGTATCTACTTCTCAAAAAACAGGAAACTTCACTCTAAAACAAGTAAATAACAATTACACAAAGCAATGTAAATTACCCAACTTTTTCGAAAAACCCAACTCAAAAGGAGAAATTTGCAGCTACCCAGTTCCCGAAAACAAGAAACTGAATCGAAGAAATGAAATGACAGGTTCCGGATACGAAATTAGAAAAACCCAACTCACAGAAAGATGAAGGCGCCTTCTTGCGTTGGAGTGAGTAACGTACTGGGCGGCAATGTCGCCGACGCCCCAGAGGACGCCGGAGCTGATGACCTGGGTTTTGAGTGGGTGGAAAGAGAGGCAGTTCTGGTACCATTTCCAGAGCTTCATCATCATTTGTGGTGGCTACTGCAACTCGGTGCTCGGCGTCTGTGGGAGGAGAGACGGCAAACGGCGGAGGAGGTTGGAGGCTTTTCTTTGAAGGTAGAAGCCTTGACAACGGAAGTCCCTTTATTTGTGAAAAGGGACACTGGAAAGAGTAGAATCGAGCTCGGACATGTACGTATCGTTTGGCATGCTGATGGGATGGGACGGAACGGAACAGAATGAGACGGGATAACACGGGAAGGAACGGAGAGGGAGCAAAGATGCATTCAGATGGAACAAGGAGGAAGTAGGAAGAAGGAGACGGAGATGTTATAATTTTGTGTTACACGGATGTTGAATGAGTCGTTCCAGGGGAGTAAGACGGAATGAAAATTCATCCAAATTTTGTCCTATAGAACAGTGCGTTTCACCCTTTTTAGGTGCACCAAATGTGGCACAGAACGTCTCGTTCCACTCTGTTCTGTCCCGTCCCAGTACCAAACAGAACCGTAAAGTTTGATATTTTCCGCCCTTTCTCTTTGGTTATAGTGTTGATTTTGATTTGATATTTTGTTAAGCCCTTTTTTTCTTTTTTGTTGATTTTATTGTGGAAAAATATTGCATAAGGAAATCTTGGATAATAGACAAGGAGAAATGACCACATAGGTTGGATTCAAAGTGGTACAAAATAAAGAAAAAAATTGGTCCAAAAAGAAAAAGGAAAAAACACAAAAGGAGGATAATGTTGTGGTCCTTGTAATTTTCGACCACTAAATAAAATAAACTATAATTTAAACTAGTTATTAATAGAATTTTTTTGCCAATCAAAATAAGGTAAGAATACTATTTAGTAATTTATCACATTAAAATTTGATAGGCGATAATATAATTTCATAAAATTAAATTTTGTTGTATTTTATTATGTATGAACTACAGGTGATTTTTTTATATTAAAAAATAAAAAACAAAAACTTCTCTTCCTACTCTCACTCTCACGTTCTCTCCCTCCCTCTCCCCCTCTCTCATTCCCATTTTAAAACAAACATAAGTTTTGATCAAAGGCGAGTTTGAGTTATGTTATTGCTAGTTTAGTGTGAGGTTAAACCTACTTGGTTTTTTAGTATAGACTAGCATATGCCCCACACTTTCATGTGTGAAAATATTTTTTATTTTTATTTTAAAATGGGAAGGAGAAAGGGAGAACAAATGAATGTGGATTAGAGAGAGAAGTTTTTTTTTTTTATATTTTATTTTTCAAAATTAGAGGATGTTAGGACTTAGGATCAGCCTTGGGTGTAAAATTTAGTTTGTATAAATTTACTTTACTGCTCATGATTTTATTTTATAGTAAAAGATAAAAATGTTTTTTTACTTTCTTTTGATTGATAAAGAAAATTTTATTAATGTAATTTTAGATAATATCGATTAGATTCAAATAAAATAAACTATAATATTGTGGTACTTACGAAATTGAGGAAGCAGTGGAGAAGAATTGGGAGAATTTGTTGCTGTCAGGGGGCTCAGCTAATGGGTAGACGCCAAGTGGTAACGATTCGATTGGAGGCTGTTAATGAGGGAAAAGGACCGTCGCCGGATACTTTTCCTATAGACAAGGATTGTCTGCCCTCCTAGTTGTGGTGCCCTTCTATGCCCTCCTATTTTATGCGGTCACGGTTAAGTTACGTCAACATTTTATATTAATTTTTTAATGAGATAATAAGATAAAAAATAATAAAAATATAAAATATTAACGTGGCTTAACCGTGACCGCACAAAATAGGAGGGCATGGAAGGGCACCACAACTAGGAGGGCAGACAATCCTTGTTCTTTTCCTATGGATCCTAAGAATTTTGCAATCGTGATCGTATATCGTACGGTCAGTTTTTATTAGATATTATTTATATTCGAATTTTAAATTTTAAATTTTAATGATTTCTGATCTGACGATGTATGATGAACGAACATTATTGCGAGATCTTTAAGATCCCTACGAAAAGGATCCTTCCGTTAATGAGGGCCTTGGATGTGCGTCCCTGTTATTTTATATTATAATGTAATGGATCTAAGTCGGCAGTACTTTCCTGACTCAGTTTCATTCCTTTGACCAAAAAGAACACTCACTCAGTTTCTTTCTTCTTCCCCCATACCGGCCGGAATTCAGTCGTTACAAACACAAATGCTGCCAATTTTTCAGTCGTGATCTGAACCACTTGCAGTGCCATAACGGTGGACACCGCAATGAGAGCCCACGGAGCCTCCTCTTCATCATCCTCCAAGTCCAAACTTTGGAATTACGACGTGTTCTTGAGCTTCAGCGGCGTAGACACGCGCAATGGCTTCACGGGCCACCTCCACGCTGGCTTGAAAGAAAGGGGATACCAGGCTTATATCGATGAGGACGATCTACACAGAGGGGAAGAAATAAAAGAGCAACTGTTCCGGGCAATCGAAGAGTCACGGATCTGTATCATTGTGTTCTCAAAGAGGTATGCGGATTCAAGTTGGTGTCTCAACGAACTGGTGAAGATCATGGAGTGCAAATCCAAACTGGGGCGACATGTTTTGCCAATATTTTATCATGTTGATCCTTCAGACATCAGGAAGCAGGAAGGTAGTTTAGCCCCAATATTTCGGAAGCACGAAGATGACATCCGTGAAGAAAAAAATGACAGAAAACGGGAAGCCAAGAAAGAAAGGGTAAAGCAATGGAGAGAGGCTCTTACTCAAGCTGCAAACTTGTCTGGTCTGGATCTTAAAAACACTGACAACGGGTAACCATGCATTTCATCTACAATTTTTTTTTATCAACAATATATATTTTCTTCTGGTTGGTTAAGTCTTGCAAATAGTAAGTCACTGCAAGGCTGCACTGCCATTTGTATCTCCTTACGAATTGTGTTTCCAGGCATGAAGCAAAGCTTATTAGGAGAATTATTGATGAGAATATCTGGGAATGGCTCCCCAGCACAAACGAATTACATGTGGCCAGGCACCCTGTTGGAATCGATTCTCGTGTTCAAGAAATTACCAGTCATCTTTCAAGTGGTGGATCAAATGAAGTTATCATGGTTGGAATTTGGGGGATGGGTGGATTGGGCAAAACAACAGCTGCCAAAGCCATTTATAACCAAATTCATCATAAGTTCCAATTCAAATGTTTCCTTGCCGACGTTCGTGACATTACAAGCCAGCATGGTCTGGTCTATTTGCAAGGAAAATTTGTTTCTGACATCTTACAACTTGCCAAGCCTCAGATTATTAGTAGCGTTGATGCAGGGATCACTGTTATAAAACATCATCTCCAACGTAGAAAGGTACTTGTCATTATTGATAATGTAGATAATTTTGGCCAACTAAATGCAATTGCTGGGAGTCGTGATTGGTTTGGTCCGGGAAGTAGAGTCATCATCACAACAAGGGATGAACACTTAGTAAAGCTACTGAAAGTGGATAAGATATATCCAGCTCAAAAAATGAATGAAAAAGAAGCTCTTGAGCTCTTTAGTTGGCATGCTTTTGGGAATAGTGGTCCAGATGAAGGATATTATGAACTGTCAAAGAAGGTAATTTCTTATTGTGGAGGTTTGCCACTAGCACTACAAGTCTTAGGCTCTTTACTAATTGACAGAGGCCAAGCTGAGTGGAAAAACCAATTGGAGAAATTGAAGACGATACCTGAGGAAGAAATTCTAGAAAAACTCAGAATAAGCTTTCGTGGGCTAGATGTTCAACAAAAGGCTATATTTCTTGATATATCTTGTTACTTTGTTGGAATGGACAAGGACTATGTCGCAAAAATATTAGATGGATGTGGTTTTTCTGCAACAATAGGTATAAGCATCCTCCGTGAACGGTCACTTGTAACTCTTGAAGAAAACAATTTGATGATGCACGATTTGCTTCAAGAAATGGGCAGGGTAATCATTTATGAAGAATTCCCTGGTCACCCCGAAAAATGTAGTAGATTGTGGAATCCTCAAGTGGTAACTGAAGTATTGACACATAAATCTGTAAGTACACTTCCAATAAAACTTTGGATTTATGCACCGTACAAGAAAAGCATTATACATTATACCACGAATGTCTATATACATTAAACAACATTTATGTGTAAATATATGTATCTGCATTAAGAAGCTCAATTAGCAAAATTACGTAAAATATATGCAAATAATCCTTTTCTTACCCAGTATAACGTGTTGTTGACAGGGAACTGAAGATGTTGAAGGACTTGCTCTAGATTTCCCTCATCTTTCGGTACAAAGCTCTAACAAGTCCAGTTTCAGTACAGAAGCATTCGCCAATATGAAGAAACTGAGATTGCTTCAGCTCAACAACGTGCAGCTCAATGGAAAGTACAAACATCTTCCCAAAGAGTTAATATGGTTGTGTTGGCATGGATTCCCTTTAAAGTCCATACCAGATGACTTTCTTAATCAACCAAGACTAGTTGTATTAGACATGCAGTTTAGCCAACTGGTACTAGTTTGGGAGGGTTCCAAGGTACAATCAATTTTTATTTTTTTTATGAGATCTTTCTTTTGGATATTAATTTCAATTTGTCTTTGTTTTTATGCAACAGTCGCTTCAGAAGTTGAAAAGCATTGATCTCAGTTTTTCTGATCACCTAAAAAAATCACCAGACTTTTCACAACTCCCAAATCTTGAAGAATTGATATTGGAAGGTTGTGTGAGTTTGTATGAGATTCACCCCTCCATTGGTCATCTTGAAAGACTTTCTTTGGTAAACCTGAATGAATGTGAAATGCTTAGTTCTCTTCCAGGGTAATTCTATAAGTCAAAATCTGTTGAGACTCTTCGGCTTACTGGCTGTTGGAGATTCAGAGAGCTGGCTGACGGCTTAGGGGAGATGGTATCATTGAGAATACTTGAAGCAGAGGATACAGCCATAAGACAAGTACCACCTTCCATAGTAAGATTGAAGAACCTCACTTCTTTATCTCTACGGGATGTTCATGTGCCCCATTCGTTATATGGCTTAAACTCTTTAAGAGAATTAGAACTGTCATGCTGCAATTTAACTGATGATGCACTCCCTAAGGATTTTGGGAGTCTAATTTCTTTACAATATTTGGATCTTCAAGAGAATGATTTTTGTACCCTACCGAGCATCAGCGGTCTTTCAAAGCTTGAAACATTGAGGTTAAATGATTGCACAAATCTTCATACAGTAACTGATTTACCAACAAATTTGAAATTTCTGTATGCGTTTGGTTGTCCAGCATTGGAAACAATGCCAGAAAAGCATTGGAAACAATGCCAGATTTTTCGGAAATGTCAAATATGAGAGAACTGAAAGTAAGTGATTCACTCAAACTCATTGAGGTTTCAGGTTTGGATAAGTCCTTAAACTCCATGACAATGATTGATATGCAATGGTGCACCAATCTCACAGCTGACTTTAGAAAGAAGATCCTACAGGTCTCTCTCTCTTTCTAAATCATCTTTCTGTCGCACGCTCACACACTCAAAAGCACATGTACATGTATCTGTGTATGACACTTGCATTGTATATATAGGGATGGGCTTCTTGCGGACTTGGTGGCATTTTCCTTCATGGAAATCCTGTTCCCGATTGGTTTGAGTTTGTCAACGAGGGCAATAAAGTTGGTTTCGATATTCCCCCGAGTGATGGTCGTAAGTTTGAAGGGCTGACTCTGTTCTGCTTTTATCGCTCAGGCAGTAGTTTTGATTGTCATCTTCCTCTTGCCATTACTGTTATAAATACTACCATGCATACTGAGTTGCGAGCCTGCATAGGTAGGGGAGATTGGGAGGATTCTCGGATAACATGTGGCGAACCTGAAGCCCATTACCTTTGGCAGGGACAATTATCAAACTTTAAGCTCAATTTGCAAGGTGGAGATAAAGTTGACATTATTTTTGTGGCGGATTCCGATTTTTCTGGTACAATAAAGATAACAGGGGTTAATCTAGTATGGGACAAACCTCTGAAGGAAAATATGCATGATTTGGATCGTGCTGGTTATGTTTTTGACCCACATCCAGCTCAGTTCTATGAAGGACCATCTGATAATCATCCCAGTAATCGGATGAGAATTACTACAGATGACAGAAACAGAAAAAGGCAAAAATTTTGAAGACAAAAGAGCATCTGTCATCTGTCTAGAGATTGATCCACACCCGGATCGGCTCTATGGTGAGGCACGAACAAGGTGGTATGCATCGTCATCATCAGGCTCATCTTCATCATCACATATCTGAGTTCCTGAACTACAGATCACTGTAAGCTTCATCATCAGCCTCTTTTGTTTTGAATTTTGAAGTTATATTGCACCTAGAAACATTTCAACATCTGCCACCGTCGGCTCCACCTCTCTCTCCAACCTCTGCCACTGTCCGCTCAATAGGTAAATATCCTTACCACCCAGGCAGCTTAATTCATTAAGTTAATTGGATTTTTAAAACATGTAATTTTGGTCTAAGGTTTGTATCTTTGAAGTGTACTGAACTTAACTGCTGTGTAAAGAGCCCAAGTTGTACTCTTTAAGTGTGTTTGTAAGCATTGGTTATGATAACTGTGATGGTTTCCACAAACCCATTTGATTGCATGAAGATTTGATTCTTGAAAGATGTGGGTTGGGATGTTTTCTAATTTGGGCTAGATTCTTTTCCCCCATTTTTATCTTTTCTTTTGATATGAGCGATATTTGGAAAGCAGGGAATTGAAGAGGGGACCTTGGGTTGTTCAGAGGCGAATGCTGTTAACCAACCGAGCTAAATCTGTTACGGATAAATTGAGATTTCGAATTTAAGACTTGATAAATTTCTGATATACTGAATGTACATGCCTCAAATTTGTCCATTGCAGGTATGCACTGGAAGTCAAAAATCTGAATTTAATCAACAAAATTACTTGTGAAATTGAGGATGGAGTGGAGAAAAGAATTGGGAGAGTTTGGTGCTGTTAGGGGCTCAGATCATGGGTAGATGCCAATAGGTAACGATTCCATTTAGGCAACAAATCATCTGTACTCGCGGTATGCAGCGTACATAATTTTATGGTTCAATGATCAATGTGCATTCTGTATCTTCCTTAATCTGCATTACTTGTACAATTAGGCTGACAATGCGTTGTTCTTTCGTTAACCTTTGTACATAGGCGTTGTTTATACGTGTGTGTGGTTAAGCATGGTAAGTGGCCTAATTCTGATCGTTGTGACTACTTAGGAGCCACATCTGCGCAAGAAGGGATCAACTCTGGTAGATTCAGGAATCCAATCCCGCTGCCTAGGGTGTTTGGGCAAGAGCAGTTGTCAAGTACTTCGTTCAAGAACGAAACTGATGAATGTTTTATTGCGAAAAGGAAGCCTCATGAGGCCCATTCCGTTTTCAAGGGTTTAGCGGAAGAAGGACACAGGCCAACTCTTATAACCTACACAACTCTAGTAGCTGCTTTGACAGGCCAGAGGCGTTTCAAGTCTATTCCCTTGCTCCTCTCTGGTGGAGAGAATGGTATGAAGCCCGATTCATCACTTTTTAATGCCATGATCAATGCTTCCTCTGAATCTGGAAATATCAACGATGCCATAAAAATCTTTCAGAAAATGGAGAAGAGTGGATGTAAGCCCACAACCAGCATTTTTAATACTCTTATCAAAGGATATGGAATTGCTGGTAAACCTGAAGAATCTTTAAAACTGATATAGCTTATGTTGCAGGATGAGATAACAAAACCAAATGACAGGACGTATAATATTATTGTTAGATCCTGGTGTAGCGAGGGGAAAATGAATCAAGCCTGGAATGTGATGTATAAGATGGTTGCATCTGGTATTCAAGCCGATGTAGTCACTTACAACACGTTGACAAGGGCTTACGCCAAGAATGGAGAGACATATATGGCTGAAAGGCTGATGTTCGAGATGCAGAACAACAAAGTGCACCCCAACAAGCAAACTTGTGGCATCATCGTAAATGGCTAATGTAAAGAAGGTAGCATGACAGATGCCTTGAGGTTTGTATACAGAATGAAGGATCTTGGGATGCAGCCGAATCTTGTTGTTTTTAACTCTCTTATCAAAGGATTTCTGGAGATTACTGACACTGATGGAGTTGACGAGGTGAGTTTTTACCTTCGATGCTTTAGCACTTAGTTCCTCAAATTTCTCACAAAAAATTTACTTACACAAAGAGCTTAACTTCACAGGTACTAACGTTGATGGAAGAATTTGGGATGAAACCGGATGTAATAACATTTAGCACCATAATGGATGGATGGAGCTCAGCAGGACTCATGGAAAAATGCCAGGAGGTCTTCAATGACATGATAAAATCTGACAAGAGAACCCAACATCCATGCATTCAGCATTCTTGCAAAAGCTTATGTGCGTGCCGGTGAGCCTGGGAAGGTCGAATCACTTATGACATCCATGGGAACGTATGGCATGCACCCGGATGTTGTAATCGTCACAACCACCATAAACGGGTGGTGCAACGCTGGAAAAAATGGAGCATACCCGGAGTGTCTATGAGAAAATGTGCGAAATGGGAATCCCCCGAATTTGAAAACTTTTGAGACTCTTATGTGGGGATATGGAGAAGCTAAGCAACCGTGGAAAGCCGAAGACTTACTCCATATAATAGAAGAGAAGGGTGTTCTTCCTCAGAAGAGAACTATCCAGCTTGTGGCTTAAGCGTGGCGCTCAATAGGTTTAGTGACCGAAGCCATGAGAGTCTCAAATGATTCGGAGAAGAAAGTAGGAGGGACAAGGTACCTGAGCAGAGTTTGGAGATGATTAGTAGGAAGCAAAACTTAAGTACTCTTATCCTAATGTTTTACAGTTACCTGGAGTAGTAGTTTCTGATACCGGCAGATCTGCTGCCAGTATACGAGGTCATATGATTTCAAGAGGATTTGGGTTTTCAGCTGATAGTATGCAGCACAATGCTGCTAAAACCGTGTGTCTTACGCATACTACATCGTCTGCGTTTAGAGTGCAGCAGCCACTGTTTATATGTAGGAGGCAGTTTCAGTGTCGAGTTGGGATGTCCAGGCATTTTGTAAATACACGTCCGGTGGTGTAAATATGTAAACGAGGAAACAAGGATGGTCACGGTGATCGGCGAGCAGAAGGACTCCTTGGTTCTGACTCTTGAATTCAAGATTGGTGATGATTCTTTGGATCCTTTTGGTGTTGCTGATCAATTCTGCAATTTAAAGTGTTCTGAAATTGTGTGCTACATGAAATGTGTAACATATACTATATGTGTTCATAATTCAAGGCTGAAAAATCTATATCTGGATGTCCAAATGCAATGTAATGACTTACTGCACAAAAGATACCTACAAAACCAATCGACCCATGTAACAAAAGAAAAGACAACATGTCCAAACTTAGTCAAGTTGGCGCTAAGCAGTATGTTTTTTCATTTGCTCTTAAGTTAGGTTCTTGATTTGTCTTTGATTTATTCATTCAATTTGTGATTGTATATAAAAGTGTGGAGAAAGTAAAAAATGACAACTTAAACTAAGGGATGTGCTATTCACACATCATTTGCTAATTTCTGTCAATTGATCTTCTTCAATTCATCCGATCCAACGGTCAAAAATTAAAAAGGTATTAGAAGTAAAAATGGATGTCTGGATATCACACCTTAAAGTAATTAGGATCAACACTTGTTTTACTGTTTTACACCCCAGTAGGACCCACAAACAAGACAAGAGCCAATCATGCGCAGGTAGCAGGATCAAAATTTTCCACCCAAAACAGATAAAATTCCAAACAAAAGAGGGAGATTACCCAAAAGCTACAAAATTTGCGGAGACTGAACCAAAGAGAGATGCTCTCTCTACATGTCCTCCCTCCATCGCGTTCCCTCCAAAACCCTAACTTCAACCCTACCCACTTCTCCACCTCATTCCAAATCCCTAATTTCACTGTCCTCAGTCTCCACTCAGTTCCGAAAACCCACTTCAAAGCCCATAACTTTCTACGATTTAAGCTCCCTAATTGTAAAACCCACCTCAGAAAACTTGCTTGCAATGCTCTGAAGGACACCGGCGATAAAACGAAGCCGGTTTTGGGCAGTGGGGGTGGCGATGGTGGCGGAGGGGGCGGTGGTGATGACGGAGGGGATGATGAGCAGGTGGAGAAGAAGAGCGGGCCTTTTCCAGAATGGTTCAGTATCACCACCGACGATGCGAAGACGGTGTTTGCGGCGATTGCAGTGTCGCTTGCGTTTCGGAGTTTCGTAGCTGAGCCAAGGTTCATTCCTTCGTTGTCAATGTATCCGACTTTGGATGTGGGAGATCGAATTGTAGCAGAAAAGGTCGGATTTTTATTTGTTTTTTTTTGGTAATTATATTGCTTATGCTGCATGGTTTCTGTTTGCTGAGGTTTGAAACGTATTGGTTTCGCTTTAGAAGTCGAAATTGTAATGGCAACATTGCTGCTTAGCTATATTTTTAGACGAAGCTTATGTTTGAAGTTAATTAGTGATTACAATTCGGATTTCGGAAATTAGAATTTGGATGGAGCCATTGAATTCGGATGACCAGTTTACGCACCGATCTCGTATTACCCGGGGGAAATGGAGTTACCATTTTCTTGAAATGCAATGGTTGAGAGGGTGAGGTTACATAGAAGGATGGTGAAGGGGATGACAGATGAAGATTGAACTTTCGGGGGACGAGGCTTTAGCAAGAAAAAAAATCTTTCGGGGCACAAATTTAGAATGAGTGGTAGCACATAATTAGAATGAGTGGTAGACAATCGAGGAGATAGTGGAAAGGCATTTTATACATAGTGAGAGATTTCTCATAATTTCAAACTCGATTGATCAGATTTGTGTGCGCTTTTATGACCACTGATCTGGGTAAAGTCTTATGAGAGTTGCTTTGTCTGTAGTTTGTGATGTTATTTTGTTTGACGATTAATGATAAGTTGTCGAATATTAACCTGATAGACTCTTCCTTTTAACATTGTCAGGTTTCATATTATTTCAGAAAGCCATGTGCCAATGATGTAGTTATCTTTAAAAGTCCACCAGTTCTTCAACAAGTAGGATATACTGACTATGATGTCTTCATTAAACGAATTGTTGCCAAGGAAGGTGATACTGTAGAGGTGAGACTAGCACTTTTGCACGTCATAAATTTCGTGACGTCTTGCTACAGTTAATTATATCCCGATGTCAACCAAGAGGTTTATCGGACCAATATACCTTGTCATGTTTACTGTGAGACGTGAAATCTCAATAAGCTTTGTTCAGAACGAGTAATATGACAATCTAGATATTAAAATTTAATTCTGGTTTGCTTTGAAAGTTCATAGATTTATACTAATACAGAGATGGTTTATGTCTGTCAAGAAAGTTGTCTTGTATCTATCAATATCTGAATTTTAGGAACCTAACTACAAAAAACGATGACTGATTGCAGGTACACAACGGGAAGCTCATAGTTAATGGAGTGGAGAGAGATGAAAAATTCATCCTTGAACCACCTGCATATGATATGACTCCTATTGTAAGAATTATGTTATGACATTTTACGTTCTTTTTTTTTATTATTTGAGGGGATGTGGTGGTTTCCATGTGTTAGATCTTTTCTAGAAGAATGTTACCTAGAGAGTTAACTTTGCATCTTTTTCTTCGTATTTATGTTGCACAGCGTGTGCCCGAGAACTCAGTTTTCGTGATGGGTGACAATCGAAACAACAGCTACGACTCACACGTATGGTAATGTTTATAAAAACCCAAGTGCAGAATTGCGAGATATGTTTAGTTTCAAGAACTTCGATTTACCTTTTATCTTTTAGTTCCTCCTCCTGTTGATTGATCGTTCAAGTTGTGAAAATGTTTAGGGGTCCATTGCCAACCAAGAATATTTTAGGAAGATCCCTGTTTCGGTATTGGCCACCAAAGAGGATCGGTCCCACAGTTCTTGAGACTGGCTGTGCTGCTGATAAGCCGGAGAGTATTCCAGCGTCTCAGCAAAAGGAAGGTCAGGAGAGCATTCCAACGTCTCAGCTAAAGGAAGGTGTATCATTGAATTAGCAACCGTACCACGTTTCTTCTGGCTCGCTACTTGAAATTGTTTCATTTTTAGCTTTCGATCTTATGTAACATCTCGGTTCTAAGGAAACACGCATACGGGCAAATTTTTGGAAGGCCCTAGTTCATCATAGTTATTGTACATTGCAAATCGACGCTCGATTCAAGTAACTTATTCTCATTTCAACATCTGCTCACTCTAGCTTTACTTTCGACATACATAAACGAATAACTTGGACACAAAAACTACTGTCATATAAGATGGATATCGTCGATCCAACTAGTATAATCACTCTCTGCAGAAATTTGCGAAATGTTGCATGACAAGATGAAGCTTATTAACAAGGAAGAAGGCATACAGTAACACTTCACACCATCACACACCGATAACCACGATAACTGAAATAAAAATGTGCTCGTTCCATGAAAAAACTCCGCGAGCAAGATGGAGAGATTCGCCTTCGGTGCTCATTTATAAGTACATGAACTCGTTTTTAACTTGATGGGTTTGGTATTATGAGAGCCGACTTCCAAGTTGCAAGAAATATGCCTTCGGTGCCTAGATCTCACCAGCTTCCCCACCACATTCCCTCGTGACCGGACTTCAAACACCAGCATCATGGGAACTCCTCCGTTGTTATCAGCTACAGCTAAGCTTGCCCCAGCCCCGTATAAAGGAACCTTGATCCCTTGGAGGTTCACAGTCACAGTCCGGTGGCTCTTTCTCGGTTGATAGTATTTCTTCAACTGCATCGAATTTGCAACCAGTAAGCACAAGGTGAAGAAACTAGAGCAGCTTCTCAAATCACACCCTGAATGTATGAATTCTTACCTGACCAGTTGCAACTGCAATCTCTGAATACATTAGTTTAACCGGCGTGGCGCTGACATGGATACCGAAGAAGGTAGCGGGGTTGTACACAGTCATCCTCACTGAACAGTTCATTGTCAGCATCTTTGTAGGCACGCCAGTCATGTCCGATCCTTCCCCGAAATAAAAGTTATGCACAGCCAAGCTCTGCAGGAAAAGGGTTTTGAAAACACTTCAGTTAAAGGTCATTTGAAACATAAATAGTTACCAATAGAAAGTAAAATCAGCAAATGAATAAAAAAGAAAGTGATTTTCACACGTCATTTTTCTTCTCATGCCCATCCGTTTTTGATTTTGGTCATTGAATTAAATAAATCAAGAAACATAAATAAACAGCGGTGTACACAAGTACAAAAAAGGTTGTTCGGAAATCATTTCCACTAAAATCTTTGGCTCTCTAAATCAATCGTATTTTCCATTGAATCTGTATATTTCTCATCTTTCATATCTCCCTCTAATCTCTCGTTGCGTATGAGAGAGATAAATACGAGAGAATATATCACGGGAAAAATTACCCAACAAAGAGAGTTTACTAAACTAGAGTTAGAAAACTAATCACACATTCGCAATAGATTACTTTACTCAAAAATCAATAAAATAATCCAAAATACATCACCAAACCCCCCAAACAATAAAGAATTAGAAAAGCCAAAATTCAAATTTGCTTAACTTTAATTAACCAACGTACCTTAACATCAACCCTTGCTCTGTACGGCCTGCTAGCCCCCCAAAGAATCAAGCAAAAAACAGAGAAAATAAAAACAAATCCGAACAGAGCAACACAAATCTGGCATCTTCTGGAAACTCCTTTGTGCCCATAAAGCCCTCCGTAGTCGCCTTCCTCCTCGATCACATTGCACTCCGGCCACCCCTTCTCGTTGCGCTTCCGGCCCCCCTTCTGGCCGGAATTGGAGGACCGGAAAGTGCCCGAGACCCGGCTGGCGGAGGAGGCCCGGGAGTGGCGGCTGTAGGAGGGGTGCGAGGGGGATTCCATGGGGCTGTTGGCTTGCATTGTGGAGGATTTATCACCATCGTTGGAGTCCCTGGAGGGGCTTTGAACGTAGTACAGCGGGCGCTTGGGTGATCTGGGTGATGATGGGGATAGGCTTGTCATGTCTGAGTCGGATTTCGCGTGCATCATAATTACTGTAGGGGGCAGTATTTAATGTGCGAAGATACTAATTTTGCTTAGAACGCAGTTGGAAATTTTGAAGCTTTTTTGGTAATTTGATTTGGGTTTTGTGGGGATTGCTCCGATTTTGATTAAACAGAGGAAAATCCCAGTATTGGTGAAAGATGATGAATTTGATCAGACCCAGATGGGGATTTTGAAGCTTTTTTGGAAATTTGAATTGGGTTTTGTGAATTGATTAAATGAGAACAGAGAAAAAAAAATGCCAAAATTGGAAAGAAGATGAAAAGCAGCTGCGCAAATGGAACAGAAAATTTCGGTCTGTGAGCTCGGAAACAGAGATTTTGGTATAAAAAAATTGCTGAATTTGATTAGACCCAGATGGACAGTTTGAAGGTCTTTCGGAAATTGGATTTGGGTTTTGAATAAAACAGAGAGAAATTACCAGAATTGGAAAGAAGACAAATATCAAACTGATCAAATTAAAAACAAAAATTGGATCTTTCAGCTCAGAAACTGAATTCGATTAGACCCAGATGGAAATTTCGAACTTTTTTAGGAAATTTGATCTGGGTTTTGGCGAGATTGCTCGGAAATCAACTGCGTTGGTGGCAAAACAAAGAAAATGGCAGAACTAGAAGGAAGACAAAAGAGCATAAATTGAACAGAAAAGTATGTGCCTTTGGCGGTTCGGAAACTGAGGACAGTCGGTGTGTTATCCTCTCTCTCTCTCTCTCTCTAGAGTGCCGTTTTCGTGAATTGGAGTGGGCACACAGGGAAAAGCAGAGCACTGATACAATACTGCAGAATCATCATTTTTTTTTTGTTGGCCAGTCAGAGAGAGTGAGAGACACAGACGGAGCTGGAGTGGAAGGAGTCAGAGGAATGTTAGCTTAGATATAGACTATAGTAAGGGTTTGGATTTAGGTTGGGTGTCGGCAGTTTTTCAGTCGTCCTGTTACCCGCGTTACCCATGTGAATTTTGACGGGTTAGTAGTGCGGCAGCGTTACGTTTGGCGCCCACGATAGCGACGCTGTCAGGGTGACGGGTACTGATTGACGGGAAGAGATCGGTTCGGATTTCTCCCATCAAAGTCCGGATCAAATAATCCGGATCGTTACAATTTGATTTAACGATTAGAATTATTATAACTTTTAGAGATATCTCTTGTTTGTAATGATTTGATTAAATTTCAACGATCCGAATCACTTGATCCTAGAACTTTGGTGGGACCAGATCTCTCCCCCTGATTGACGCCTGATTTTGGTTAAGATTTTTGGATTAGATTAACACTTGTAAACGTATTCACCACTCCAAAATATACCATAGATGAGTTTAGTTTGAAGCTCGTTACATTTGACTTTTAACTTCGAATGTAATACGATATTAGATTCCATCAATAATAATATATAGTTTATCTCCGTATTCTTGAGATGATAAGTTGTCACATAAGCAGTGTAACATTCCTTCTAAGTCTTATATATATATTCACATCTCTTTTGGGAACTTACTAGCTTCGGGTTCCATCGGAACTCCGAATCTCAGGATGGGTGACCCACTGAGAAGTTTTTATATGAGTTCACAGAAACAAAACCATGAGGGCATGATCTGGACCCAAAACAGACAATATCGTGTTACGACGAAGATCAAGCCCGGGATGTGGTGGACCCCGGATCAGGGTGTGACAAGCAGTGCATCTATAGTATAATTTCTTAAAGAGAACTTTAATGAAAAACTTCATGTATTGTTGCCTTTCACAAAAAACTACATTTTTACACTAAAAAATCAATTCTGATACTATTCACTTTGCTCTTTATTTTTCTGATACTATTCACTTTGCTCTTTATTTTGCCCTTATCGTTAAGTTTTCAAGCCATTTTCCTTTCTTAAAAAGGTGATCCATACTCCTGCGATATTTTTTTTTTGGTTTGATCAAAAATCGTTTAACCATTCATGCGTAAGGAGGTTCCCAAACCCAGATGGGGAGAGGACAGCATCGACAGTTGACACTCCGTTCTTGCATTAAATCCACATATGCAAGACATGCCACTTTAAAGAAAAAACCAACTTTATTAACAATAAATTACAATGAGCAATGAAGGACACCAATTAACATGCCTGCAATCTGAATTATAATGTTTATTGGGTAATACACAATAAGCATACTTTCTTGAGCACTTTGAACCAACACCATCTACGCTACAAGCCTTAGAACAATTGCATAACTATCTAAAAACTGACGAGTGATTCATATGGGGGAGCCCAACAAGTGATTTCACATGGCCGGAGAGCCTCGATCATCATGAGACTAATTCAACAACGGTTCGCCGATTATCCATACCATTACCTGCGAGAAAAATAATCCCAGAAGCCAAGACCACAAATAACACTTGCATAAAATTATAAACGAACACTACATACAGAGAACATTGCTGTTGAAGCGGCATATGCTTAGAGAATTTATGGACTCAGACAACTGATGCAATATCAGAGTGGTCGGCAAGGCCAATGAGGCCATTACGACGAGAGACCAAAATACAAATCCTCACAGTCCAGTCAGATTCATATGACGAATCCGTGTTGCCGCAGGTACAATGATATTGTTGGGCGGTGCAAAATCAATAATTCAACAAGATCATGCACCGCCCAGCAATCCCGCTGCTTTCATCCCACGATAAGGGAATTTCCGAACGCAATTCATCACAGAACATCTGCATTATCTATCACATTCGGCAAACAATGCAAAAACAAAAGTGAAAATTTTGATTGGCAGTAAAAAAACACAATTTAGACACAAAATACCAAGTTTACAACACAAAATTAGAGAAACAAACAGAAGGGTCGTCAGATAGGAGCGAAAGACATGAAAATTGCTTAATCACAGAGATTCAGTTGAACTATGCGTCAAATCATCACACGACCCTATTACTTATAATCAATAAACGATAAGATAATCTACGCTAAATTCATAAAAAGTATGTTATTATTTTAAGAAAAAGAGATCAGCCTCAGAAGGAAGGCAGTAGGTATATAGGTAATCACAGAACGTCATAAATTACACGAAAACCGTACTATCATCATTGGCAGCTGATCTCAAATCCTAAAGTACGTTAATTTTTTGGTGAAATAATTTGTTTGGTATTTTCAGAAATCCAAAACCCACAACAAAAATACCCAGAAAAATTCAAACAAATAAAAAGATTAAAATTTTCAGGTTCCTAAAATTTAGAAAAAATTATTATCAGCCTCATAGAGAAGATTAGTTTGTTCCACATAGTGTAATTCAGACATATGCTTGTCTAAATATTTAATTTAATCATCGGCTGACAAATAAAAAACCCAAAAAATACAGAACTTTTGCTTAGCAAAAAGCGATTAAGTAAGATAAAACCCTAATTTGAAACAAATCAAGAACAAAAGCTTTTGAATTTTGGGAAATTAGATTAAAAGAGACTCAGAATATGGGTGGTGATATAACAGGATGGTCGGCAAGGCCTTAACGGCCGTTACGACGAACGAGACCTTATATCAATGAATCATCATAGCCCCAAAATTTGAAATCGAAACTTGAAAAAGCGAAAACAGAGAGAGAAAAATGGCGATGCAAGAAGTTTAAAAACCCTAATTCCTGAGGAGCTCGAAACCCTAAGCGGCCGGTTGGAGATTCTTGGTGTTTTGGAGCGGAAGAGTTCGCGGATTTATAAAGAGGTGTGACGGAGGCTTTCGGGGCTAGGGTTTTGTGTTTCGGGTTTTAGGGCTTTCGGATTGGGGTTAATTATACAGTACAGTTGAGTGTATAGTTATAGCGTGCGCCTCTTCCAATGGCGTTGAAGTTGAGCTACAACATCAACTGATCCACATAAGGCCGGCCCATTATAGTGAAGGATATTCCTTTTAAATGAGCCCATTTTGGCTCGAGTGTTTTAAAAGAATAATTTTGGAAAACAAACCTCGTGTCTATTTTATTGGAGGAGATGATATGCTTACCTTAGACCATCTCTAATTTTTGGGTTAAAACTTAAAATTTTTAGCCCGAAAAATTTAGGTTTTATCCCAGAAATAATTTTTTTGCTTCAACCCTTAAAACCTAAATTTTTAACCCCAGATTATTAAAGAATGAATATAAAACAAAAGCATTAACTAAATTAAATGTGGTTCGTTGGATAACCAACGGTCATTTGAATGTGAGTCATTGATCACAAAAGGAGCCGTTGGGCTCAACTTTATTGCCGACAAGTAGCCAACACAACCCACATGGATGGGGTTGCCACCTTGCAGGCACTAGAGAGTTGTAAGAGTATGACGCGTCAGTTGGGTAAGTGATGTCCAATTGCTGGTTTCCCACTCACACAAGTGGGCCATCCCACTAACTTGGCCTAAATCTTGGTCGAAATTTGGCTTTTTTTTTTAGTTCTAACACTTAGAATAAGGGTTGGAATGAAATGGGGGAATAGAAGGGAAAATTTGAGACTTACTCCAAGGGTTGGAGTTGGTCTTATAGACCGAGATTGTGACCGCTTATGTAGGAAGCACTTTAGCTGCTTTTGTTAGAAGTGTGTTTGTGGAAAAGGAACAAAATATGCTTTCTAGATAAGCACTTTAGTCCTTCCTTTTCCAGAAAGCGTTTCTACGACAAAATATGAAAACTCAACATCAAAACAAGCTATAATACAGAAAGCGTTTCTACAACAAAATATGAAAAAACATCAAAACAAGGCTATAATACGCCTGTATTATCACTTCATCCATCAACCTATATTTCAAGCAAACACTAAAAATTCTACATTCTAACATCACAACGATGTTACGAATTTGACCGCAAAAAACCGATGTTACAAACGTCACCAGAATCTGACACTCGATAATCTGATCCTAAATCCTGCATAAGCAGCACGTTGATTGCATGGCCAGTCTGATGACATTGCAGAACCAAATAAGGTAATCATATTAAAGAGCAACTTAGCTACATCTAACGCCTTCCCTCAGCTTCCACTGGCATGATCCGTGGATCAAGCGTTGACAGGATCTGGGGCATTGACATGCCTCCAGACACAACAATTTCTGCATTCCAAGGATAAACTGATAAGATACTGCATTGGTGATAGGTACAACTTCATGGAGATAAAAGTACTCTAGTTTAATCTTTCATTTTCAGGTTTGGGACGTGGTAGGTAAATTCAAGCTAAGGGCTCAAGTCTATTCATCCCTGCCGTTCTATTTCTAGTTGAAGTAGAATACATAAGCTTACTCACCAATTCCCTCCCGTACAGATAAATTTGGTCTGATAACATCTTTGGTGTTGACCAGGAATACATCACCAATGTAAAGATGGTTCGTGGGAACATAAACACAGCACAACTCTTCATCCCCAGAATAGCTCTGCAAGTAATTTTGGGGACAAGGAGAAATAAAGTCGCCATTACAAACAGTCTGAAAAACCAATTACGTTTAAAAGCACAAGCTGCACAGCATCATTTCATCTGTTGTATCCTCGTTTTTCACAATGAAAAGTTATTAGCATACCTGAAGGACAACGGATGAAGTGATGAACCCGAATGCATATTCACCAATACGTGGATGCCTTATTATGGCCACTTCCTTGAAAGCTTGTGTATTTTGATCTAAAAATTATAAAGAGCTAAGGATTAAAGATTGACCCATCTAATTCATTCATTCCAACCAAGGGAACTGAAATTTCTATAGAGCTCACCTGGGGATATAGCAGAACTAATCTGCTTGGAGGCATTGTAGATATGACGAACAAATGGCATTCTTTTGATAAACCACTCTCCAAGGCCCAGGACAGATGCACCCAACCATGATGACATGAACACCCCAACGATAAATATGAACGTAATAGAAGTTACAAATCCAAGACCTAACATGTATATGAAGTTGAAAGGTCAGTTATAGATTGTAAGACCAAAACAAAAAAGAATCACTGAAAACGTATGTTTTGACTGTAAACTAGGCATTATATAATAATGGGCGGCATTTTTACTGAAGTTGAATTATCGCATCAAAATTACTGTCTCTAGGATTAGATGAAGAGAGAAAATGGACTAGATACTTAGCTCAGGCTCAGCAACCTCAAACCCCAAGACCATAACTAATGCAAGTTAGAATGTACCAATCAAATAATGGGTTCAAGGATGCATTTCTGAACACTACATACCAAAAATGTCGATTCCAAGTTGAGCATAGATCGGAGAGAAGAAACCATCCACAAAGTGAATAAACCACCATGTGATATAGAAAGTGATCGCTATTGGAAATAAGATCACACTGCAAAAGAGCAAAGAGTGAGCGGCTAATATGATTCATATATATATATATATATATAAGCAAAAAGCAGTCTCAAAGAAGGAGAACGAAGCTTTGATCTCAATAGCTACTACTTCAAATGGATGCATCAAGAAAAATCCACACACGTATGACATGATTAGCGTAAAATTACATGAAATGGGCTCAGTCTAAAACTTGTAATAAGCTATGTTGTACATTTCTTGAATTCATCTGGCAAGAGGCCAGTTCTCTATCTTAACTAACTTCTAATATACTTCTACTTTCAGAAAGAGAGCAAAATAAATTATAAATACATGCCAACAATCTAAGTTTAAGTTCCTATCACTACTAAAGCATTCCATCTTTCAACTCTGAATCTTAAGAATAATCAGAAATCCAACAACTTTAAAAATATTTGACCCTCCCCACAACATAGAAGTGATTGTTTACACAGAGTATAAACAGAAAATAGTATTGCATATGAACATGATTTGAACGAAATGGGAGCCAGAAGAAAGAAATGCCCACCATCCTGTCATGAACTTTTTTGATGCCCAACTTCTAACAACTTTGGAAAATGTCTGCACATAGACAAAAAGAGATCAGAATGATTGTTATGAAGGGAGCACAAACACTCAAAGTATGGGAAAACTTATGCGCCAACTTAGGCCACCAAAAAGTAACAAACTTTGACACACTGTAACTGGTTCTTGATAAATTACTGCTGACTTACGAAACAAAATTTTACGTGCATTCAGTGGTATATACACGAATAAATTGTTTGATCTTCTTATCACATTACTTGGAAGCTCGAGCAGAGAAATAGAGCCACACTCACATCCAAATTTCGAACCAATAAGCAGAAATTAATACCGAAAATCCATATTAGCACATTACAAGTCCAAATGAACTGATGAAAATTTGACAAATAAAACAAGAGCCAAATCTGAGTTTGCTCCTCCATTAGCTCAGGAAACAGTAAATCAGACTAAGTCAAACACAAAATTAGAAACTTAATCGCAAAATCAACGCATAAATCGTAATTAACACAAACACACTAACTTCATTCGCAACCTATGCAAAAAATTACAGCCTTTCCCTCGAATTTTCCTCCATTTTCTCAGCAACCAAACACAACGCAACACACAAAGCAATGAAATTTGAAACAGAAATCGAGACTCACCTCGCGGCCGGTGTGCTGGGATGACGAGGAAGACGAGGAGGGTTTGGACGATGCATCTTCGTCGCCGGAGTCCTCCACCGGAATGAGAAGCTCACGATCCCGCGGTTCCCTGTCTCTGCTCGCCATTACGATCGAAGACGACGACTTCTCATCGCCCATCACCAGTAGACCCCCAAATTGATATACGACGCCGTCTCAACGCCGCAACGCGGGGGCTTTTTGTGCCAGTGAAATTCCAGAAGAGCGAAGGACTGTGATTAGAGAGAAGCTCTCCCGAACCTCGTTTTGCTTCCTTTGTATTTTTGGCATTTCAGATATTTGGTTTTTATTTAATTAATTATTATTGTAATTGGGTGACGATAACCAAGGACTAGAGAAAATTCGGACACGCTCTCAATAAAAAATAAAAAATTCGTCATTATTGGTCTTTTAACTTATCAAAACATGTAATTAACGTCATGTTTATCAAACTTCGTCAAAATTTTTATTAAAATAAATCACGTTGGAAGAACTAATACTACAATTGCTTTAAAATGTAGGGATTATTGCTCCAATTAAATTAAAATTGAAGAATGTTAAAGTTGTGGGACAATTTCTACAATTTTTCATTTAATTTTCTATATTTTCTCTTTGATTCAGCCTCACGTGCGTGATATATGATTCATTTTGACAAAAGTTCAAACGAAATTGACGAAAATGAACATAAATGCACATTCTAATGAGTTAAGGGAACAATAATTTTTAGTTGATGACAATTAATCCAATTAAATTAAAGCTAAAAGACAATTATTACAATTTTCTTCAAGAAGTAAAATAGTTAATCTATTTTTCAATTATCTAGAAATATAATAATATTGTGGAGATTATTATATTACGCGCATGTGCTGACTTTAAGGAAATGTTGTGTCTTGTTTACCGCTAATTAAACAAGGGGAGGATTTAATTAATGCTTAATCTCTTTTTGTTTCTCAGTTTATACTGTATATTGATGTTTGATGAGATGTCTCTTCCACTATAGGATGCCAGCAATTTTGGCCTGCAATTTGGTGTTATTTTTTGGCAACGCAATACTGAGATAAGAGAGCTGTTGAATCTCTACTATTTATACATACACACTTCTTAATTAGGAGTGTAATTTAATTTCGATTGTCTTTTAAATGATTCAACCTCAATTTTAGATTTTTGCCACTTAGTACTGCGGTCCTATGATATTCTTCTTCACTGGTAAGTGAGAGGTCTTATATTTAATTTTCGTCAAAGGAGAATTTAAACCATATTATTACTAGTCATTTATGAGGCTTTGCCATCCCTCAACCGTTTTAGTGTAGATAATATCGTTTGTTCAAACAAAACAAAAAATATTTGGATTTCCAAGGGTGAATTGGGATGACTAGAGCTAAGCTTAAATTGAAAAAATGATAATAGCGTCTTTAAAAGAGATGTCAAATTTATATTGAAATTATTAATGTTTATAAAACACAACTGAGTTTCGTGTTAACTTAAATGTTTTAGTCAGGTCAAATGGCAGCTCCACTAGTTACTGGCAGTTTCCAAGTTCTTTTTGTATTTTATCGCTTTTTTAAACACCATGCCCACATATTCTTACAATCAAATTTAAAGTGGAGTTCATTGTAGATACACAAAGGATAATCCACCTCAAGTTGATTTTAATTTTAAATGCTTGAAAAAAATAAACATAAGAAACTAGATCAAACTTATGATTTCATCATTATTGTTTGAATTTCATCATTATTGTAAGTATTTATAAAGTTTATTGGCATAATTGGACAAAGATTCTCTTCCCTCCTCTTTTCATCCCCTTCCATCTCCTCCTCTTACATTCTTTATTTTGTTTTTCTTTTTCTATAAAAAATTAATATAAGATGTTGACGTGGCTTAACCGTGACCATTCAAATAGGAGGGGAGAGGAGGGAACGGAAAAAAAAAAAGAGATGAGAGAATCCTACCAATGTGTGGTGGCATAGATTGCAATTAGTTTGTTTATTTCTTTGTATTGTTAATGGATTTGAATTTTAGTTGGATGTTTAAAGATGAGTTTTTCTCAAGGAAATAAAAATTGCAGCAAAACATATCATTCAGTATTACGGTCTAGTGATATTTCTGTTTACTTGTAGATGAGATGTTTTAAGTTCGATTCTCGCCAAATGCAAATTTGAACCATATTATAGTTAACACATTGTTAGACTTAACTCATCATTTTTCCTTTTGTGTAGATAATATCGTTTGTTAAAAAAATTGCAAGACCTGACTCTAAAGAACACTACAAATTTTTCAACCTCAATTTTGAATTCCTCAGAACGGATTGAAACCCTTATAATCGTCATGGTTTATTAACGAAAAATCGCTATCGCTATGTCTATTTTCTAAAATCCTTTTACATGTTTGAAGATGGTGATATGATGAGATGGAGTTGAATAGTCACCAGTACTGAAATCCATAGAAGATAAATGTATGTCACCAATCAAAACAATATCAAGTCAATAGACGAATCACCGCGTGAAATAAAATGGAGGATGAAGATCCTTCCCGTTCGTTTCGCGCGAAACAAGTAAGAAAAACAACAATTTGCTGCTACACGATCTGGGATTGACGTTTTAGATTACATGATCCGGTCAGGTCCGGAGAGAGGGACAGGAGGGCATTCTGGTCCATTTAATCTCATTTTAAGCGGACGTGGATGACTTATCATTTTTGTGGACTGAAGGAGGTTGACTGGGGTTTAGAGACTTTAGATATTTCACTTATCCGTTGGGCAACACAAACACAAACACAACCACAAACGCTGCCTTTTTCCAGTTGCGATCTGAATTACTGCAGGGTTGTAACGGTGGATACCGCCATGACAACCCACGAAGCCTCCTCTTCATCCTCCTCCAAGCCAAAACTTTGGAATTACGAAGTGTTTTTGAGCTTCAGCGGTGCAGACACACGCAATGGCTTCACGGGCCACCTCCACGCGGCTTTAAAAGACAGGGGATATCAGGCTTATTTCGATGAGGACGATATAGAAAGAGGGGAAGAAATCAAAGACCAACTGTTCCGGGCGATCGAAGAGTCGAGGATCTGTATCGTTGTCTTCTCAAAGAGGTATGCGGATTCGAGTTGGTGTCTTGAGGAGCTGGTGAAGATCATGGAGTGCAGATCCAAACTGGAGCGACATGTTTTGCCAATATTCTATCATGTTGATCCTTCACATGTCAGGAAGCAGGACGGAGATTTAGCCGAAGCATTTCTGAAGCACGAAGAGGGCATCAGTGAAGAAAAGGATGACAAGAAACGTGAAGCTAAACAAGAAAGAGTAAAACAGTGGAGAGAGGCTCTTACAGAAGCTGCAAATTTGTCTGGCCACCATCTTCAAATCACTGACAATAGGTAATCATTCACCTACTTTTCAAGATTTAAGTTGTATTACTCTAATTAACATGCTTAATTAATACACCTTAATCCCTCATATAAAACCTAAACCGTGAATCGAGTTTAATTAATACACCTAACTATATAAATGAATGACTTTCTTTCTTTTATTCAAGTTGGTCAAAAAATCACATACTAGCTAGCAGGTATATATGACGGAAAGAAGGAAAGAAAATTGTTAATGTAGTGATAGCTCCTACTGAGCCTTCATTGAGTCCCACTAATGTTTACGAATTCAATTTTCAGGCGCGAAGCAAAGCTTATTAGAGGAATTGTTGACAAGATTATTACTAAATGGCTTCCAAGCACAAACAAATTATATGTGGCCAAGCACCAAGTTGGAATCAATTCTCGCATTCAAAATATTATCGCTTTTCTTTCAAGTGGTGGACCAAATAATGTTATCATGGTTGGAATTTGGGGGATGGGTGAATTGGGTAAAACAACAGTTGCCAAAGCCATTTATAACCAAATTCATTGTAAGTTTGAATTCAAAAGTTTCCTTGCCGACGTTAGCGACACTACAAGTAAACATGGTCTAGTTTATTTGCAAGAAACACTAGTTTCTAACATCTTGAAAAAGAAGTATAAAATAAGCAGTGTTGATGAAGGTATCAGTCTGATAGAACAACACTTTCAACGTAGAAGGGTACTTGTCATCGTGGACAATATAGATGAAGTGGAACAACTCAATGCAATAGCTGGAAATCGTGATTGGTATGGTCCAGGAAGTAGAATTATCATAACAACAAGAGATGAACATTTACTAAAGCAAGTGGAAGTGGACAAGATATATCCGCTTCAGAAAATGAATGAAGAAGAAGCTCTGGAGCTCTTTAGTTGGCATGCATTTAGAAATAGTTGGCCTAACGAAGGATATCTTGAACTCGCAAAAAAGGTTGTTTCTTACTGCGGAGGCTTGCCACTAGCACTTGAAGTTTTAGGCTCTTTTTTGATTAAAAGAACCATATCAGAGTGGGGAAGTCAATTGGAGAAATTGGAAAAAATTCCTGATGGAAAAATAATAAAACCACTAAGAATAAGTTTCGAAGGGCTAGATGATACACAAAAGGCTATATTCCTTGACATATCTTGTTTCTTTATTGGATGGAATAAGGACTATGTCATAAAAGTATTAGATGGATGTGAATTTTCTGCAACAATAGGAATCAGTGTTCTTCGTGAACGATGCCTTGTAACTGTTGAACGCAACGAGTTGAATATGCATGATTTGCTTCGAGAAATGGCCAGAGTAATCATTTCTGAAAAATCCCCTGATCACCCTGGAAAATGGAGTAGGTTGTGGAACCCTCAAGTCGTCACCAATGTATTAACAAATAAAACTGTAAGTACATTCCCAATAAATTTTAGATTAATGCATCATATGTTTCTTACCAGTATAACCTTTTGTCAACAGGGAACTGAAGGAGTCGAAGGACTTGCTCTACCAAGGACCAGTTGTTTCACTACAATAGCATTTACCAATATGAAGAAACTGAGATTGCTTCAGCTCAACTTCGTAGAGCTCAATGGAGAATACAAACATCTTCCCAACGAGTTAATATGGTTGTGCTGGCATGGATTCCCTTTAAAGTCCATACCAGATGACTTTATTAATCAACCAAGACTAGTTGTTTTAGACATGCAGTTTAGCCAACTGCTACAAGTTTGGGAGGGTTCCAAGGTACAATCAATTACACATGATGATATTCTGTTTCTATTTGTTTTTGGATTCCCTCCTCTTTTTTATGAGATATTCCTTTTGAATATTAATTTCAATTTTCCTTTGCTTTTGTGCAACAGTCGTTGCTGAAGTTGAAAATCATTAATCTCAGTTATTCCCGTTTGCTAATTAAATCACCGGAGTTTTCACAACTCCCAAATCTTGAAGAGCTGATATTGGAATGCTGTTTTAGTTTGTCCGAGATTCACCCCTCCATTAGTCATCTTGAAAGACTGTCTTTGGTGAACCTTACGAGATGTTACAAGCTTCGTTCTCTTCCAAGGGATTTCTATAAGTCGAAATCTGTTGAGACTCTTCTTCTTAATGGATGTTTCATAGAACTACATGAGGATTTAGGGGAGATGGTATCGTTGAGAGTACTTGAAGCAGAGAGTACAGCCATAAGGCACGTACCACCTTCCATGGTGAGACTGAAAAATTTCACTCGTTTATCCCTAGAATGTGTGCAATTGTTGGGGTTGCCTATTCCTGAGGATCTTGGGAGTCTAATTTCCTTACAAGATTTGAATCTTCGAAGGAATGATTTTCGTAGCCTACCCAGCCTCACTGGTCTTTCAAAGCTCGAAACTCTACGGCTAAGTGGATGCAGAAAGCTTCAAACGATCCCTGATTTACCAACAAATTTGAAATTTCTGTATGCATTTGATTGCCCTGCATTGAGAATTGTGCCAAAGTTATCAGAAAGGGCAAATGGGAGACAGCTGAATGTAAGTGATTCAACCAAACTCACTAAAGTTGTAGGTTCCGGTAAGTCATTAAACACCATGACATGGATTGATATGAAAAGGTGCACCAATCTCACAGCTGAGTTTAGGAAGAACATCCTACAGGTATCTCTCTCTCTCTCTCTCTCTCTCTATTGCCTTCCTATCCTGCGCATGCACACACAAACGCACATGTACATGTACATATATATGACACTTGCATTGTATATGTAGGGATGGACTTCTTGTGGATTTGGTGGCATTTTCCTCCGTGGAAATTATGTTCCTGATTGGTTTGAGTTTGTCAACGAGGGCAATAAAGTCAGTTTTGTTATTCCCCCAAGTGATGAGCGTAATCTTGAAGGGCTGACTCTATTCTGCAATTTTGAAAGGTTGACTCTGTTTTGCTTTTATTGCTCAGGCAATAGATTCAATCGTCCTCTTCCTCTTGCCAGTATCACTGTAATAAATAATACCAAATGTACAGAGTTGGGGGATTGCATAGTCAGAGAAGATTGGGAGGGGCTAATAGATAACAAACCAGCCCATTATATTTGGCAGGGACAATTATCGAACCATAAGCTCAATTTGCAAGGCAAGGATATAGTTGAAGTTGATATAATTTTTGCGGAATCTGATTTTCCTCAGACAGTGAAGAGAACAGGGGTTAATCCAGTATGGGACAAACCTATGGGTTAATCCAGCTCGGTTCTATGATCATGATCCTCTCGGCCTTGCACATTTACGTCCTTCTTTGTCTGTTGAGCTTATGAACAAGAGATGTTACCCTATGGCTTCTTGTCAATGCACGTCCTTTTTAAAAGCGCTAACAAGCAAGAAAACAGATATTGTAACACCCAACGTTTTCTTATAATGGACATTCTCATTTTACTAGCGTAATACTACTTAATAGTCAACACTGGACATTACATAATCAAAGTTATTTGCAATTCAATAAGGCCATACCTCCCCTCTGAGGAGAACTAATAATTGGCAACATCAGAAGGCGATCAGACACTACCATGTTTAAACCATATGACAAATTGATTTTGGGCGATAATTCTAGAATGGAGCGGCTTATAGAATTAACTAGGGGTGGCTTAAAAAAACCAAAAACCGAAAAAAATCGGACTGAACCCTGAACTGAAAAATCAAAAACCCAAAAAAATGGAACCAAGAAGGGAAGAACCGAACCGAATTTTATTGGTTCAGTTTCGGTTTTGGAGTTCGAATACCGAACCAAATCCCTTTACACTTAATTACACACGACATTATTTGAAATCTAGAGAGTCTGGATCAAAAAACACTGACATCTTCATTTGTTTCTTTAGTTTGACTTTGTCATTGTTTTTGTTTTTGATGTGAAACTTCTGTTACAGGGCAGGAACTTGTAGTTTTCATTTGGATAAAAAGCCATGGATGGTTTAAGACTTGTAGCATGTCGTATAAGGGATCGGATAGGACTAATAGTACGAACCCGGCCGTTTGGTGTCTTCTCGTATTAAATAGTCGCCGGATTGACTTAAGCAGTCCGATAGAATAGTCGGGTATACACCTTCTTAATAAACCCTTCCAAAGGGAGTGGATTATTAGTCGGGTATAAACCTTTCCTCTCTCTAGCACTTCGTTCTCCACGACAACGCCTCTCGCCGTCGTCGTTTTCGCCGTCATCCCTCTCGTCGTCGTCGTTCTCCCGATCGTCTCCTATAGCCGTCGTCGTTCTTCCCGTCGCCTTCTCTCGCCGTCGCTACTCTCCTCGTCGCTATTCTCCTGGTACTGTCGCTCTTCGTGAAATCCGTTAAGTACCCGAAGAGTCTATGTTAAAATGCATGAAATAAACATGTTGGAATAATGGTGAAATTAGGCTAGTCAACTTTCTTGTTCAAGGTTAGGCAAGTTAGGTTAGTCAAGCAAGATAGGTAAGTTAGGCAAAATTAGGCTTATGATCTTTTTCTTCCCTATATATATGTTTCATCTTGTAATTGTTTCATCAATCAAATATACATCAAAATTCAATATGGTATTAGAGCTGTGATCTGGGAAAAACCACAAAACACAGCTCTAAAGCATCCACGAGGTCAACCATTCTAGGCATGGCCTCTCATTCAAAATGGGAAAATCCCACCCGCTCTATCTCCACCACTCGGATCAACCTGGTGCAATCCTCGTACCACAACCATTGGTGGAAGACAACTACAACACATGGGTTCAATCCATGAGTATGGCCTTAACGGTCAAGAACAAACTTGGTTTTGTTGATGGAACGATCAACAAACCAAGTGAGGATAATTTTGATGAGCTGCAGCAATGGAATCGCGGCAACAACTTGGTCAAGACATGGCTACTAGGCTCCATGTCAAAGGAGATTTCAGGGAGTGTCATCAACTACAAGGATGCTCGACAAATGTGGGCCGATCTGCAGGAGAGGTTCTCACATGTGAATATAGTTCAGTTGTTCCATGTTGAGAACGAGATCCATGATTGCGTCCAAAGCAATATGAGTGTAAGTTCTTACTTCACTAAACTTAAAAGTTTATGGGATGAACGTGATACTTTGTGTTCCATTCCAGCATGCAGTTGTGGAACAAAGAATGAGATGAACTCATATGTTGAAACTCAGAAAACCATGAAATTCCTTATGGGATTGAACGAATCGTATGCTACGGTTCGAAGCAATACTCTTCTTCTCGAACCACTGCCTACGGTGAACAAGGCATATGCGTTGGTCCTTCGACATGAACGCCAGGCAGAGGTTTCCAATGGGAAAAGCACACAACTAGAAACTGCTGTCTTTGCAGTGAAGAATCTGTCGCGAGAACCTACACCTGAAGACAAGGAGATGCGATGTGGAAAGTGCAATAAAACCAACCACATCACCAAAAATTGTCGTGCACATCTCAAGTGCACTTTTTGCGGATGGAAAGGCCACACCTTCGATTTCTGTCGAAAACGGAAAGCAGCCACAGAGACCGAATCCAATCGTCTCTTTTCTTCAAAGGGGAATCAAGTTTCACAAAGTAACAAGCAAGAGACAGTGCCTAATTTCCCGTTCTCTCAGGAGGACTGCAAGCAAATCCTTCAGATGTTGAACAAGAACAAATCATCATTTGCCAATCAAGTCAGTAATCTTCCTAGTCATGAAGAACTTTCAGGTAAAGCCTTCTCTTTTTCATGTAAAGGAACCAAAAGTATTTGGATCCTGGATAGTGGTGCCACGGATCACATAGTTTGCAGTCCTAGTCTCCTTACACACTCACGAGCTGTTGAAAATCATACAGTTGAACTGCCAAATGGTTCCATTGCCAAAGTCACTCACATTGGACAAGTTGTTTTCTCTCATAATCTTATCCTTGAAAATGTCCTATGTGTGCCGTTCTTTAGGTTAAATTTAATATCTATCAGTAAACTGGCCTATGATTCCTTATATGTCACCATTTTCTTCACCCAATTTTGTGTCATTCAGGACCTTCGCTCGGGGAAGATGATTGGGACGGGAACTGAAAGGGATGGACTTTACTACCTCGACCCATCAAAGAAAGGAACATGCAACAATATTCAAACCGTCTCACCAAAGCTTTGGCACCAACGCCTAGGACACTCATCTCATAAAGTCACTTCGTTATTACCTTTATTTAACAATAAGGCTTGTGATTTGGAAAAATGTTTAATTTGCCCATTGGCCAAACAAACAAGATCACCCTTTCCTTTGAGCTCTATTTCTACCAAATCATGTTTTGAATTATTGCATATTGATATTTGGGGTGGTTATCAAGTTGCTTCTATTTCAGGTGCCAAGTATTTCCTTACCATCGTAGATGACTACACTAGAAGCACTTGGGTTTATTTGATGAAACATAAATCTGACACAAAAGACATTTTTAGTCGGATTCATTCAAATGATTGAGACTCAATTCAATACCAGAGTTCAAATCATACGAAGTGACAATGGCCCTGAGTTTAAGCTTGAGCAATTTTATGCTCTCAAAGGCATCATACATCAATCTAGTTGTGTCAACACACCACAACAAAATGGTGTTGCCGAACGTAAACACCAGCATTTGCTCAACGTTGCTCGGGCTTTGCTCTTTCAAGCTTGTTTGCCAAAACGTTTTTGGGGGGATGCAATCTTAACCTCAGCCTACCTCATCAACAGAACACCCACTCCACTTCTCCAAGGTAAAACACCTTACGAAAAACTGTTTCACAAAGCACCTAACTATTCCCATTTAAAGGTTTTCGGTAGTTTATGTTTTGCTTCTACACACGCCCAAAGGCCCTCTAAATTCGACCCCCGTGCAATCCAATGCATTTTTCTTGGGTATCCTTATGGTCAAAAGGGTTATAAATTGTTTGATATAAAACACAATAAGACTTTTGTTTCTAGGGATGTTGTTTTTTGAAGATCATTTTCCATTCCAAAATCATACCACTTTCGCTGCCCCGTCTCCATCAAACATTACACCCTCACCCATCACGTTTGACTTGACCTCTCCCATTGAGTCGCACTCAAGCCTTGCACCCGAAGAAATAACCATCACCTCTCCCACACTTGCCGACATCACACCACTCTCATCTCCTTTACCTACTACAACTCCACCACCAGATACCTTATCAACACCTTCACATACCCTACACTCTTCACCACCTCCAACAACTCCATCACCAGACCAACCACCTCCACTCCGTCGTAGCACTCGACCGACCAAAACTTCCACATTTTTGCAGGACTTTCATGTTGAGGTGGCCCTCCCTTCCCGTGTTGCTCCCACATCTTCCACAAGCATGGTCCAGTCATCAGGTACATCTCACCCCATATCTCGTTATTTATCTTATGACCATGTATCCCCCACTCACAAAACATTTCTCACCACCCTCACCATTATCAAAGAACCCACTAGTTTTTCGCAAGCTGTTCAGGATCCAAAATGGCGTGACGCCATGCAAAAAGAGATTGTTGCCCTTCATGACAATCGCACTTGGACTCTTGTGCCCTTACCACCTCACAAACATCCCATCGGTTGCAAATGGATCTATAAGGTGAAGCTTAAACCTGACGGCAGTGTTGAACGCTACAAAGCTCGTCTCGTTGCTAAAGGCTACAGTCAAATTGAGGGGCTTGATTATCGGGAAACTTTTGCTCCAGTTGCCAAGCTCACCACCGTCCGCGTCCTCCTTCCATACGAGGCTGGCATCTTCATCAACTTGATGTGAACAACGCATTTTTGCATGGTGACTTATACGAGGAGGTTTATATGTCCTTGCCTCCTGGGTTCGGACGAAAGGGGGAGACACGAGTATGCAAATTACACAAATCCATTTATGGTTTAAAACAGGCCTCGAGACAATGGTTTATCAAGCTGTCTAGTGCTCTCAAGACTGCTGGTTTTCATCAATCATGGTCAGATTACTCATTGTTCGTCCGAAACCGTCAAGGCAGTTTTATGGCATTACTTGTGTATGTTGATGACGTGATACTTGCAGGTAACAATTTGAGAGAAATTGAAGAGACTAAACTCTTCCTTTCCCAACATTTTAAACTAAAGGATTTGGGAAAACTCAAATACTTTTTGGGGATAGAAGTTGCAAGATCTAAACAAGGGATTGCCTTGTGCCAACGCAAATATGCGTTGGAGATACTAGAAGATGCTGGGTTCCTTGGTGCGAAGCCCTCAATATTACCAATGGAACCAAACCTGTCCCTTACACAAACTGATGGGACGCTCCTACATGATCCTTCTTCATACAGGCGACTCGTAGGGAGGCTGATTTACTTAACCATCACGCGGCCTGACCTGACTTATGTGGTTAATATGTTGAGCCAATTCATGGACAAGCCACGACAACCACACCTTGAAGCGGTGCATAAGGTTCTCAGGTACATCAAACAATCTCCTGGACAG